GGGGGGGGGGGGAATTCTCATGATGGTATCTCTGATGTAACCTTGTAAATTCGAGGGGCCGTCAATCAGTTAGTGAATACAACATCGTTTACGTGCTTCCACGAGTAATGATCGATTGGTGTGAGATCGCTGATCTCTCACAGATTTACCTGATAATTGGCAATTCATTCTACAAGATTTACAGATACCTAAAGACGTTGAAAGTTCCATCCAAGAACCAGAGAACCATTACTTGAATGTCAATGATACCACACGATATGCACACACTCCGTCAATAGTGGTGTGTGAGCCTTTGGGTCCCATGACAATCTGCGGAGAATCAGTACGCATAATTATGCCGGCTAATGGAGGCCATACTCGAAATGAAATGTAAATTCGCATTTAATTTATCTACAGCAGGGTCCGGAAACCCTCAAGTAGTTGGGAGTCATCCTATTACTACAGTCTGGATAATCTCCAAATCCTAATATTCTTAATAATAGTCATCCAATTAGACAACCTTCATCTGTGAATATGTCCCAGTGGTGACGATATTTTCGACAATCACGTAGGGTGGCGTGCGAGTTGACCAGAAATGGCCGGTACACTTTTAAATTTTAAATAGAAAATCAAAAAATCGAAATCTGCAATGAAAAAAATTAGAGAATATTTTTCGGAAATTGTTTTCAGGTTTTAATTTTTTTTTTCAAATAGTGCACCTTCAAATGTGAAAAATAGAAGTTTGCGATGTCCAACCTCTTGTTTTCAGCCTCTTAATTTTCAGTCTGGACCACGGCTCGAATAAGCCTCGCGAATAGCCTCGTAAACCACTGTCAAATCAAGTCTTAGAAAATGATCAAATCGGGTCAGGGTCGGGTTCGGATAAATCAGTGCTAGTGAGCTAAGGCTTTGCGAGCCCTGTTCTCATCGTCAGCCTTTGGAATTCCTCTATTCATTTACTGTTTCAGTTATATAGTTATATAGTTATATAGTTATATAGTTATATAGTTATATAGTTATATAGTTAGATTCATTTTCTCCACCACGACTATTCATTCACGAATTCTGTGCTTCAAATTATTCGGTAAAGTGATCGCTCCACATAGGAATTTTGAACGAATGTTTTATTTCATTTATTGAACTACTGAAAATATATACATAATACACAAAATGATTCTTAATGGTGATTCTTCATCACAAAAGCAGAAAAAAAATTCCTACGATTGCTGTCTATGTTGAGTAAAAAATTACGATTGGTACTGCAAATTGGTAGAAAATTCAAAATTGCCGCTCGATCACATGGCCGCCCTATGTTGGTATCAATCCCACCAAATCTCGTGGGTGGAGAAGAATCGAATTAGAGTAGGTAGCTCTGTTAAGTGGATGAGGCTCCTCTCTCAGTTCTCATTAAGGAAGGTCGAGAACTGCGTGAGCCAAATGAGGCCTGGTTGCTGGGTCCTAATCTAAAGCCCAACTACAGAAATTTATGCGGCTCTCCACATAATCAAAAAATAATGCTTAGGTCAGTGTGATGTGACAACGAGGATATTGAATATATTTCAAGATTCTATCGGTTGTACTACGTGATACTCCGACATAACCTTTAAAATACGGTAAATTCATGTAAGGGTTTATGTGTTGCGGCGTAATTTCGGCAGGTTCACGGAACCCTCCGTCTATCAGTCGGACGTCGGGCACCAAAAGAATCCAAAAATAAAATCAAACATCATGACTCAGGCGCCTCGGCATGTAACGGAATGATCACCGTCAAAATCGTTCTCCGCTTCCCGGCTCCAATAACTTGCTGCTCGGTACGTAGAGATTTAATTTCGACTAAAGCTGGAAGGAGATTCAACTGAGAATAAAACCAATAAATAAATAAGTCAAGCCTATAATTATCAGGGAGAACAATTTTGTTTAATGAAAAATGAAATAAGTCTCAATACAAAATACAAAAAAAATAAATCATTAATAAAATCTCTTTGTCACGTTGTTAAACAAACGGTTTGAGAATTAACTAACTAAAGTCACTGTCGTCGAATGAGTTCAATAACTGATTTTCTCTAGTCCAATATTTCAATTAATTAAACCAATATACTATTAAAAATCAGATAGATTAAATTATTGCCAAGAACTGAATCAGGAGACTCAATCGTAAAATCCAATGACTTCAAACTCAATAATACGAAAACCAATAAGTCTCCATGACCTCCGAATATTACAATCAAAATAAAAGTAACAATTTCAAGACAAACAATTTTCGAGGTCACGAGAAGTGAACGGAAATAAATAAAATAAAATTTAATGGCGAGACTTCCATCAAATTTCACGGCACTAATGAATGTAAGAAAAAGTCGCAAAACTAACCAAATAAAATCATAACAACAAAAAAATTGAGAGAATTAATTCAGAGAGAGAAAGGAAGTCAAACTCATTAATAAAAGTGGCCAGAGGTTCGCCGATAGGGACGATTCTCTAATAGTCGTGTGCAATTTGGATGTCCGTAACATCAACATAAACAAACTATTAAAAAAAATCTCTGCCGACTAACAGACAGTATTTAAACAAAAGAACGATCACCCAAAACTCCCGATGATTCTCCAAAATGTTGAGAATCCCCAAAAGCGTTGGAATGGCGTCCTTCGACGTATTTGGCGTCCCCAGTAAAAAATTTTGGTACAACTCCTGACAATTCCCTACTAACCGGGAACTGATTTATGCACGGAGAGAAAAATACTGGAAAAAATACGTAAAAAGTTCCGTAAAAATTCATGTGTGAAACGTAAACGGGGGGCGAAATGTAAAATCGGAAAAAGATCATTTAGAACATTTTACCACTCGGTCGGTAAAAAGTGATCTTTGGAGGTAGAAAAATAACGATACTCAGTTCCGTAAATTTTGCGGGGACTGGAAAGTACGATTCTAACCTCACTTCGCTCGGTTAGATCGCCGTTTCCAGTCCCTAGGAGAATAAAATATTGTGTGCCTCACGGAAATAACGTATTTTCTGACTCATGTGATTATACTCATATTTCGTCAGAAAATACTTTACTCCCTAGGGGCACAATATACTAATTATCCTTCCGACAATAGTAATTTGTCGGGTGGCATGATCCGACCTTAGACAATGATGCGCGATCGGGTATGACCAACAGTCGTACCACCAACGCTGTCTGGGAATTTTTCGATTCGGTCACGTAAAAAATACGGTACGTCACGTAAAATTCACGTGAAAGTGGATAATTTTTACTTTACTCGAAATAATTTTAACCGGAACTGCGGTAAATTTTACAAGTTCGTAAGAAATTACCTGACAGTCAGGTAAATTTTCCAGAGCAAATAATAAAATTCACTGTTCGTCTCTCATTTTTTCCCAAATTCTCCAGTAAAAATCAAGGAAATGACACTCCAGCCCACGATTACGTGATTAGTCACGTAATTTTTCCTGGGTTTTTCTCTCCGTGTGCGAACACGTGAAAATAGGCAACAGATGGTTAACTCAACGGAATTATCTGATTGACGGTGATATTATCATCATCTACCGATCCCAGTCAATTGGACATGCGCAACAGTTATAAGTAATCCTAAACGCATGTGCTGTTAATATTAGTGCTCCAAAATTTTATAATTTTTTGGTTCTTCATTATGAGACTAAATTCTCAACGCTTCCCAAATTATACTAAATTAATTTCTGCGTCGATCGCCACTCCGGGGAAGATAATTCTCTCACATTATTATTACTTAATTAATTTTTCGCTGATCTCCAAATGACCACGTACATGAGTCTTTGCGTCACTACTGCTGTTAAGATGACTGGATAGTGGCTCCATTTTCGACCACCTCTAAGACCCAGTCATTGCTAAATTAC